AAATCAAAACAGGCTTCGAAACAGGAAGAATGGTCTGCTTGCAGGGTCCAATGTTATAAGTAATTTATTTGGCCACCACTAACATATAAATGCATTTGCTATATCAGTAGTACATGCTGAGTTGTACATGTTGTGGTTGGATATACCAACCACAATAATTTCCTTACAATAAAACCCAAGATTATACAAAATAATTTGAAAAGTAAATCAATTGTGAGGAATTCAATCGCTGGAACCCGTTGTTATTTGTCGGAGCACTAGTCAAATAATATTTGTTGACAAAACAACCATCTTCTCGCTATCCTCCGGAACAGTTCCTACTGGTTTCATTTAAAATATTTACTGAATATTTACAAGTTAACTTTTATATAACACATCAAACACTAAAATTAAGACTACAGTAGTTATAAAAAATATTTTTAAAATTTATTTAAACAAGGCATACTTATTATTTTATATCATAACATTATTAGTTTTGTCAAAACCCCAAATACAAAAAAAAACTAAAATTCTTTACCATTTTCACAAATTAGTGTTATGTTAACTTACCTGACCTAAATTGTAACTATTGGACCGATCCACTTAACAAAAACCTCCTAACAGACCTCAAAGTTTGAAGGCCACGAGCTACTATTTTGGTTGTTATATCATCGTTTTTTACCTGGTGTTTGTATCAGCTCTGAAGTGTGCGGGGAATTTTCACGAGCGGTGGGTATTTTCATGCTAATTACAGTTCCCCGAAGGTTGGTAACAATCCATCAGTCGGTTGCTGTCTGTCAGTGTGTGAGTGTGTTTTTAGTGTCTAGTGTGGAGTGTTCGCGTTTTACTATTTGTAATTTTCATATTTTTATTTCTCACCCTGTTCATCATTCTTCAATTCCATCATGTCCGCAAAACCCTTTCATCATCATCTAGCATTTTTATCTAAAAAAATTATTGTAAACCATCATTACGCTAAGAAACGTTAGGAAACTTAGTTTACTTTAGGAAAGTCTATGTGACGTTTTAAACTCAAATATTTTTTTTCAGTAGACTATTAAGAATTTTTTTATTGCATTTGTAAGGAAAATGTTTACGTCTTAAACAAAAAAGCGACTATTGCGTATGCTCTTACTTTAGAAACATTTCATTATATTATTTTGACTATTGTGTAAATTGAGTTTGAACTGTTCCTTTTTTGCTTTCGACAAAAAAGCGTAAAAAACTTTCAAGTTATCAGTAGCCTTCACGACATTAAAATGTACTTATTAAATTTAGCAGATACTTCTTAAAGTGAGAATCTCAAAAATGACGTTAGTAAAGTTTACTTATCAGATTGACTTGGGTTTTTCGTAGTTTCTGATGCGTCAAAATGAGTCAGTTTTACAAATGAGCTTTTGATAAACTCGCTCTCCAAAATTAATCGTGTTTAAATCACATTGTCAAGTTTTGAATTCTCCTTTCGTGATCTCATTGGGTAAAAATTGTTAACGGTTGTGTGCAAGTGGGGAAAAAATGTTATATTCTACAAAATAAACTCATCGTTTAGTACCTTTAAAAAAGTAGATTTAAGAGAACAAGCTTCTCGTTTAAAATTTATCGTTTTTATTTTATGTAGGCCTAACAGAGTGAATAATGTAGTTAATCAAATAAAGAAACTTAAAATTAAAGCTAGAATTTTCGCCACTTAAAAGCATTGTCTTCATCAAAAGGTATTTAATTTTTAAAGCTGTCGTGGCCTGAACCTTTGCACATGCAAGTGTCAATTATCTTGAGTGATTGTCTTTGGTGTCCATAAACATATCTTATGCTAAATAATATATTACACTTTTAAAATTTGTAACCATTAAATTGCAGCTATTTATCCAGAAAAGGCGCGCAGCTACAAAAGACATAACATAAAAATAATTTCGTTGTTTTTTTGTTAAAGTTCATTACGTTATTAAGTTTGTGTCAGTATTTAATTCAGGTTCAAAATTAATATACACAATGTAATAAAAGTGTAAATAATTGGAACTCTTCTAAACGAATTTCCGTTAAGCCGGAATCCAATATTAAACACAATAACATTTTGCATTGGTCATGCACTATCAGTTGGTTAAAAACATAATCTATTGTGAAAACTAAACTATTACAGGACACCTAAGATAACTTAAAATTTAACTCTCATATTTTCAAAAGAAGATTTTAACTAATCTAGCGACGTAAGGTACCTCCTTGTGAATTTATCAAGCGCTGTAAAAGTTTATTATGGATTGGTAACATTTTGAGAATCGTATTTCCTAGCGTACATTCTAAAAAAAATCAAACACTTTAGATATTTTCATCTCAGCTTGTATTTTAATGTAAAAGATCTTATATGCCTATCTATTAGCGTAATTTTCGACTGAACTGTTTACTCGATGTTGTTTTCCAACCATCTCTGACGCGATCTTTTGTCAGATTAAAGGAAACTTGTTATTTTCCATCTAAAATTTCCTTGTCACATCATTAATTATTAATTATTGTTAGTTAATCATAGTGCAAATAGTCTTGTGCTGCTCGTCTTGAAATGTTACATTACCATGAAGTAATGAATTCAGAAGATCAAATAAAAATAATCAAACAAAAGTACGCTAGAATTTGACAGTTATAAATGTTTTCTAACTTAACGTTTCTAATTATTTCTGTCAAGTAGGTAAATTGATTGCCAAAAAGAGACAAGCACTTAAAATCTATTAGTTTTATGTTTTTCTCTGATTATTTTCAGCCGGACGATAACATTTTGGTCAGTAATCTTTTACGTTAACGATGTTTACATCCGTCTTCTGAAATCTTATCAAAATCTCAAAATACATCTGGAAAACTTTCTTGTGATTATTGAAACCATATTCACTCTGGAGTCGCAAAAATCTAGAGGAATTTTAGCACCAATTAAAATTTGTTGGGTGATTTCCTCTATGAGTTCAGTGGATTTTACTTTGTACTTGATTGTTTATAAATATTTATGAAAACCATGAACTACGTCAGTAATTCGGAAAGTCAGTAAGAAAAATGTGTTCTTTCTAGTGACTCCATCTTGTTTTGTACTATTTTATCAGTTCGCCCAGTCTGTCAGATTGCGGCTACTAAAGGTCGCCTCTTCGTATTTAGGTTAACTTCGCTTGGCTAAGCTGTAGATAACCCTAACCCTGCCTTGGTTTGCAGAATGCCTTGGACCGCGATAAAAACTAGTGAAACTAGTCAAAAACTATGTCGAATATCTGTTAACAGAGTATTAGTTTGTCTTAGACCTCTTACTTGAACAATTGGAATAAAATATCGCTGTTACAAGATTTTTATGTTCTCGAATAATTGTTATATCTATAAACATTAATTTATCAAGTAAACAAATCCTTGCACCGAAACTAGTATTTGGATCGTATAACTTAATTTTAAAGAAAACCGTTTGATTTTATCTGTGTATTTTTGTTGAGGCGATCTATTTTATTTTAACTTGCATTTCATTCAAAACATGCTAATTTAAAAATATTTGTGCGGTTTACGATATAATTATTCATTAAAACAAGTTAATAAAATATGGTATTTTGAACCCAAACTGCAAAATTTATATGCTATCACACGAACCGACGTCTAAAACTAAACATTTTATTGGCTATGTGCAGCTAAGCAAAAATTGTATAGCCTTTTACATTATATATCTTAATTGGTTACATAATGTTAGCATCTGCTACGCCATCTCATCTTCAGGGTCCACCTCTCTCTTCCATAGAACAAAGAGAGATGTTGTCTCTCTTTCTTCTATGTTGAATCACAATCCTTATTACCACTCTCATAGTTATTTCCTCTCATCTTCTTCCCTCGAGGTTCCCTCCTTTTATTCCTCGGCAAATGCCTTATACCGCTTTAGAACCTTATTGTACGTATATTCATTCCTAATCTAATTCTTTGGCCGATATAACTTTCCACCTTCTCCTCTCACACCCTGTAAAGCACAGAATACCAATCTTGTACTGTAAAAAAACTGACTTTCTAGTGTCCTTTTCTACACGCTTCTCCATTCTACACTTAAAGTTGCATTTTAACTTGATCTCGCTAAAATTCACCAAATCCTCTGACACCCTATTTTATTGTACTTGTACCTTCCTTCCAACCACTTTATCGCTAGTTTATTCTCATTCTCTACTCTTACTTTTCCCTTTCAATTAGCAAATAGGTAATATGTCTGTGTCATCTCTTTCAATGTAAGCTTCTGCATTATCAAAACTTTCATTCGCTAAGTCTTTAGTTGCTGTATAACTCTCTAACGGTATTTCTATCTAGTTCATCTATAATTCTTCATCTCCATCCTTTATCAAACTTCAATCTAATAAGCTACCACTAAACCCTCTGTTATCGCTCGTGGTCATCCTTCCGCACACCACCTCTCTTGCACCATACAAACCTTCCATCCTTGGTATTTATATGTTCTGTTTTCTTACTCTTGCGGTATTTCTATCGCGCCCCTCCTTCATTCTTTAACTTCATCGAACGTCATACCCTCTTGAGACGTCAATCTCATTCTCTTGTGGCCGTCCTTCTACACTCCATTCTTCACTGACCTCTTTTCCTCTTTAACCTTTTCATTCTTGACATTTCAACTGTCTTTCTCTCATCTCCAAAATTCTTTACCTCCATCCTTCATCCAACTAAATTATTCTTGAACAATAACCACACATTACTTCACCTCCTTCTCTCGCGGTCATCCTTCCACAATATATTCTTCACCTCTTACATCTTACAACCTAACATTCTTTGTCTTCAAAAACTCTTTCATATAACTCTCTCGCGGTAGTTCTATCTCTTTCCTCCTTCATTCTTCACCTCCATTTTCCATCACTAAATCTTCTGTCACCTCATTCTCTCGCATCCCTCCGTTCTTCATTCTCAACCTCCCCTTTGCACCATCTAACCCCCTCGTCTCTTGTAGCCGTGTGACTGTGACTTGTGTTGTGTACCATGGTGAGCCAAGAGGCTGATGTACATTGCTTGGTGTCCGACAGGAAGGGGAGTGTGAAGGTGACCATCACCCCCTGCCAGCCTCGCACCCTCACCCATCTGCCCAAGAGACCGCCCGTGGACATCGCCTTCTCCGATCTCACCTACACCGTCAAGGAGGGCCGCAAGAAAAGTGAGTAGTATGCTATCATGTGTTGTATAGAGCTAATTTTCTGCTTGAAAGTAATGTAGTTGAATATCCACATTAATCGCGAAGATTTCCTAAAACCAGCTAGGCGGGACAGTGTGGACAAAACGAATGTACGGTGCAGCAGGCCTGTTTAGTGTCTAGCTAGTTTGCTGCTCTATAGTCTATAATCTTCAAATCTTTTAGGGTGGCTCATACTTTACCGACATTCAACACATGTACAAATAAACGTCTGGCGATTACCTTTTGACACTTGCAACATTGAAATCGGAGAAGTGTTATATGTTGTTCCCCTCATGAAAGGTTTCGCACCGGCTTGTATTTATAGTCAATCCTGGCACTCGTTAGTTCTTGCGTTTTGCCACTTGAATCGTTTTGTACTTCACAGACGAACGCAGTAGGACTTACTAGTCCTATATAGTGTAGTATTTTATACTATAATCAATGACACTATCTACGAAACGAACCAGTTGCTCAGTAGGCAAAGCTGATAAGTATGGCGGATTTGTTAATGTAGGATTCTGCAGATTTATAAATCAATGACCTCCATAAAATTTACACTTCGAGATTTACACTTTATTTGGATCAGAAATACAGGGTTATTACAAATGATGTTCATGATTTCATACATACATAAAATATAGTTTTATTTGTTATAAAAAGAAATAAAATGGTTACAAATTTTGAAAAACTCAAAAAGTTTTGACACAGATACACAGAACTGTAAATGCTCGATACGGGAACCCCTTGTGGTACGACAGATGTCAATAATGTAGTCAAGCTCTTGGTAGACTTTGAAAAGTGTGTCTAGGTCTATTATTTCGATAGCATTGGTAATCCGTCGCTGGATCTCAAGTATGCTATCTGATAATGGGGATGTGTACGCCTTATCTTTGATGTATCCCCACAAGAAAAAAATCAGGGGGTGATCTTGTAGGCCAGTTCGGGGGTGTGTCATTATTCGGACCACCGAGCTCGTTCCATATCTCAGACAGCACATTGTTAAGTTCAGCCCTACTACAAGTAACATTTAAATGCAGCCATTTCTCTTAAATTTCAAGTGTCACTTGCCAATATAGTGGTTACTAGGAAGATAATCGTTAAACCTGGTTCTAAAGTGTCGTTGCACACTAATAACAGATTGGTTAATGTAATATTCCAACTGGCAAAAAGCTTTCCTGCCTTCAAATTCAGCCATTACACAACACTTACAAGAATTGACTTGACAAACAGCTGATATCCACCCAAACCAATGTAAATGAAACTTTATGAGTTTTTCTTTCCAATGGTACCAACTAAAATAGTCTTGAAACAAATTAACCCAGTAATATTTATAATCAAAATCAGGAACATCATTTGTAATAACCCTGTATATACCGTAGTGGGTGTGGAGTTTAAAATTACTATTTTCGGAAAACAATAAGCAGTTGGCCTTGGAGATAATGGGTAATTAGATGTGTGTCCAAAAGCTTTCAAAAAAGGTCCATCTGTCTTGCACAACTCTCTGGTACTGCATGGGTCTAAAAATCATACAACAAGAAAATACTCAGATTCAGCGTTGGTTTTCCCAGGTTTTACTACTATTCTATACATATAATTGTATGAAATTCTACTTGTTTACGCTGTTCTGATGTGTAATCACTAGGTATTCAGTTATAGTACAACAATAGCAGCTTAATTAAAGCCTTCTTTGCGTTGGAAGACAATTATGTGTCAATTATATTGTTTATGTCTTATCCTACCTGTTTGTCTTCTGCCGAGCCTTCACACAATTTTCAGGCAGCTTTCATAACGATGTTATGAAGTGATTATAAATTAATGATTGTTACTGGGGTGAATTGAATGTGCGGTTGTTATTTTCTAAAGTAAAAATCTTAGACCTTTTTAATCAGTGGACAATTTTATTGAAGGTTGCATTATGTTGGTGATTTAGCAAACCTGCCAATATGGCACTGCCAAAGTCTTTTAAACTTTTATTTAAGAACATAAAATGTTTAGTAAATGTTTTTATTGCTTCAAGGGGTTTTGACAATAAGTTCACTGCAAATTCACAATATTGTTTGTCGATATTTCTTTTGATTTTTTGCTTGTACTCTGATCAGATATAAAAAGGGCAAATTTTTTTCGTTTCTGTCGTGCCTTAAAGATGTTTTTAATTGAAGCGTTAATTTTGATCGAGATGCATTGCACATTTCTCATCACATGTTGATGACATTGTATTATTTAGGTGCTGATTTTAGTGCTGAGTGTTCTCTGAGTGTTTCTTAGATAGATGGGATTTTCGAACTTTACATTCTTCTTTAGACAGAACCACCCAAAGCCTCTTAACATATAAGATGCCAACAGCAAAATAGGTATTATTTCAAAATCAAATTAATGATCTGTCAACCGTTTCCTAAAAATATTAACATCTATTTTGACACATCTCTATATTCATATAGTTTTATATTTGAACTAAGTGAAATATAAAATTTGTTCTGCAGCATATGAAAGAATAATAATTTTAATGAAAAACTACAATAGGCCTAATACAAATTTAAAGAATCCTGCATGAATAGGGACGTTTAAGGAACTACCTAACTAACTAAGTATCACAGGAAAAATAATTAAATGCAAGGAAATGTTGCTAAAAACATATAGTTTTACGATATTTTTAAATCTTAGGAGCTTCTCAATAGCCTTTGAATAAGATTATTGTGTAGATTGGAAGTAAACCTTACAAAAATCGTCTTAACTATAGAAACTTCAAAATCTAAACTGAATGGAAATGCTTGTAAATGTGCAAATGGTGTGCAAAATACGAAATATTCCACCATCGAAGAACAAATTAGTAATTAGGCGCAGGCGAGTCATGTGGTTGTCATAAGACTTGGATGACTCGGCAAGATAGGAAGGTCGTCGGCTTCAGTGGTAGAGCTGACCTAGCGTTTGACATGCAGCTCTGCGATATAACTCAGTATAACACGCATTGGTTATAATGACACAATATATAGTGTCATGGCCTTACTACATTATGGCTGAGTTTGAAATATTTAAATGGCACTACCGTTCTGGGAACTAGTAAACACGAGAAAGGTTGATGACACTATGGTGTTACCTATTTTTAAATCAAACCATCGATTTTTAACTAACTAAACTTTTTCATTTCATCCACACCGTCCAACATTTTCAAGTGTATTAAAAAAAAACGTTTTAGGATCTTTATATGTTGAAGTATTAAAAAAATGTAATCTCAAGTCTTAGAAAGGCATAATGACAGTTAGCAGTAAACAAAGAGAGAAAAGTTTTAGGTCAAATTTTACAAGAAAGCTAAATAAATAAAATAAAATAGAGCAGTGAACAAACAGGAACAGACAAAGAGTGTTTACCATTTGTGATAACAAGAGAACAGCTGATAACAATGATAACAGTATATATCAGGGGCAAGCAACAAAGAGTCACGTAATGAATCGAAAATCATCAGTTATGACTTATTTACAACTGATCTATGGGTTCTTTATGGTTACGCGACAAACAATTTATGTTGACTTGCGAAAATATTCTTACGGACATAGTTCGTAAGGAAACACTTGCTTCAGTATGGAGTAAAGAGATAGATTTACTTTGATAATAATATGAGTAGGCTATCAATGCTTACGTTCAGCTTCTTATGGAATCAAATGTTTAAATAATTAAATTTGTACGAAAAGAACATGAATACGTGCAAGAGAACTTCGGAAAACTATGGACATGAATTGTTAAATGTTTCCCCCATTTGTCCAATACCTAGTTCTCTCCTCTAAATGTTTATACACATGTAAATATTTTATATTTTACATTCTTATAACGCAATTGCCTTCTAATTGACGGCTTCCAGCAAAAACTAGTATACGACTCCATAAATTGTCCAGTCTGTATGAACTCTATTATTGAGTCAATACTATTTCCTTGCATAAAATTCCCTCATTTGTTCACTATAGTGCAACTCATTCAATTTGGACATTGTACACTTCCTTGTAAAATAAAGTTCGTTCATCTTTATTCATATGCATTTTTGTAGCCAAAGGCTTAGAAAAATACGACTCTGTAACAGAAAAGCCTTCCCTTGGTTCAAGTGAATCTCTAGTGCCATAATTTGAACCAATTCGGACTCCCTTGCTAAACAACAACACTTTGGAGATTTTGTTTAGGATCATCATTATTAATCGGGCCAAATACACTGTTTGTAAGTTTTAAATCCATTAATTCTACGAACAACGTTGAACATATGGACTAATAGATGATCGTCAGCTGATTTTCCACGTTCCCGCCATGTTGGGCACGTCATTATGGCGGGAGATAACATAATAAGGATCGTGCCTGAGGACGAGGTGAAACTTAACAATCTCTTGTTGATTGTTGGTCGCGTCTCCTTCTTCGTGGTTATTCCTATCCTCTTTATAGCCACAGCCAACTAAATTATATTGTATACTATCCGTAGATTTGTTTAATATGGGTTTAGATATATTGATAAGTAGACGTTCCAGATTGAAGATGTTGCCAGTTTTTTATGAATTAAAAAACTTGGTTGAACTTAACCGCCAAATAGAGAGGTGACGTATACTTTATTTTCTTATACACCGAGTTTTATTCATGGCAAACTAAAATTGTAACTCTTTTAGAGAAATATGTAATCTTTTATGTCCTCATCAGTGAGCGACTCTTTTAACTATTAACTCTTTGCACACTCTTACTTAAGTTTTCAGTCAAATCATATCAGTCTATGTATAAAAAATACCCCCGCCACAGCAAACCTGCAGACTTAGCGAATTTCCATTTTCCTGATTGGATTTAAACTAAAATGTCTCCTTAAAAATATCACATTTATTCATATTGAAACAGAATTAGTTTAATGAGTACTTAGGTTTGCTGCAACAAGGAGGGTAAACAAGTTTTTTTATGTAAAATGTTAAAAGGTACTGTGGTTTAGTAAGAAATTATTGTTTTTTCCAAATTTGATATAACAG